CGAATGAGCACGGTGGCGCGTGACGTCACCAATGGCGAAGCCGGAAGGGAAACATGAATTTCTTGTGTTTGGGGTACCTATTGGCGCAAACAACTGTGGCTTTGTTCTTGAATTAATTTGAATATTATGAAAAGTATATTGTAGAAAATTGCATGATCTACAAACAAGTGAAGTCTTGGTAAAACAAACAAATCGATTAAAATTTACAGTGATCTAAGACTTACCTAATTTTTTAAACAAAATATTTCCATAGATTTCGACATGGAGGAGGCCAATTTAAAGCTCAGATTTTCCTCTTTTGAATGATGTACTGTATGTTACGAGGGTTCAGAAAATATTACAAAAAAGCGACTGGTTTCGGCAAGTTTTTTATCTGTTAAAATTAACGCCAACCCCATTCTCCTCGTCAGAGAGCATAGTTCTGAGTGACCCCCTGTTTCTCAACAAGAACGGAGTAAATCTGACCAAGTCTGAGGCCTATGAAAATGCTCTGCAGAAGTCTGTCAAACTCAAGTCATGGAGACGCCAGTACAACTGGTCAGAGGAGGACTATGAGATTATCACTAAGTAAGTCATTATTGTCATCATATTAATGTTGTTAATGATGATCTAAATATGTGACAGAATCTGCGCTTCAAAGAATTACCCATGAAAGAAGCTGCATGAAGACAACCTTGAGACCAGCTAAATTGACCGTCTGCATAGACGAAAAGAGCCATATATAAATATGTGCGTCAGTGGTCATTATTAGACATTCATGGAGGACTGTTATTACTATTACTATTATCATTTTTATTGTTATTATTATCATAAATGCATGACTTGTTTCTTGAAAATTTTTCAGCAGGCAAAATAAACCCTTCTGATTTAAATAATCCTATGAGAGTAGAAACAAAATGTTACCCTTGATGCTTTTGTATGATATATAGTATTTGCTGACTCTTTGGCTTATGGTTTTTGAAAAAGAAAAGAGTTGACTTATTTCTTCCAGTTACACAGTTGCAGTAAATTACACCATGTATACACATTACATTCCAGCACGCACATAGCGAAATTGGTGGGATGTGAAAATCTTTTTGTTATGTACCGTACAAATTTTCGTGATGTGTTTTCAGTACAAATAATATAGATGTGCCTGTAAGAAAAAATTCGGGACAGGAAAATCTGCTTGCCTTGCACATGTTTCACTTTGTGCATGTTTGATATGTGCATGCAAGACTATATATATATAAATAT